ATTCTCTTAATAGAGAATAATTATCTTACTCTCAGAAAATGGAAATGATTGGTTAAAATGAAATTTAATTTGAATTATAAATAAATATATAAAATGAAATTATTAATAACAACAAAAAAAAATTATATTTATCTCTTTTTCACAATAGTTAATAATAATGTTGAAATGAAAAAAAAAATAAATATGATTAATGGCTTTCTTACCACGTTGTTTTATAATTTATTATTTTCTTTATTCATCTTAGCACTTTTTTGGTTTCGGAGTAGGTATATGTACATATATTTATATAGGTACACTGTTATACTAGTATAACAGTGTTTTCTATAAGAGGGAAGAGAAAAAAAAAATACTTAATTTGATTTTGATTGAATAAGTATAAGCAATAACCGAAATCAAATCAATATAAAAATTAATTTATGGCATATTACGTATGTGCTATATTTGGTATTGTAATAAAATATTTTTTTTTATTTTTCAATTAAATACAATAGAAAGAGATGCAACATTCTTAAATTTTGTAAAATCCGTACACACAAAAATTAAACTCTAAATAAATAAAACAAAAACAAGTCAAAGAAAACTATTTCTTTTTTCGGAATTATTCATTCGGAAAAGTATGAGAAATAAGAATACATGTAGAGAATGGTTAACACGCACACATATGTTACACTACTCATACACCAGAGAACAATTAAACTTATATTCAATACATAAAAATTCTTGTATTGTTGCTTAGTATAACAAGCTGTCATAAAATCAGCTGGTTTTATGAAAACTTGATGAAAGAGAAAATACAATTGATGATAATAATGAAAGAGAAAAGAAGAGAAAAATATTGTTAATGCGACGGTATTTTTACTTTGTTTGATATGCTCCCTTTATATTAGATTGACGTACCCAAAAGTGAGAAATTCTAGGTGATATTTAAAATGTAAAATGTAAATATGTAGGTACTCCTATATCTGTATGGATATTATATGAATATTATTACGTATTGTATGATCTAAATATAAAACCGGTTAAATAGGAGACTCCTATAATATTATTTTTGTAGGTTGGGTTTAAAAAATATATAATAATAAGAAAACGAAATATAATTTGTATTTTTCTCCATATATTTAAAAATATTGTATATTTTGTTTATAAAAATAAGAAAGTGACAAATATATTATACCTATTTGTTAAAAATATTTTTCGATTGTATTTGTATGTCATTAAAACGTATAATCTTTTAAATATTTTTTTTTTTGTATTTTATAGGTAAAACCTACTTATTGTAGGTGAAAACCTACCTTTTGGAAAAATTGTTTTTTCTATTATTTTATGCGATCATGATTAAAAATTTTAATAAAATTAAAATGTGATTAGAGTATATTGGATTCAAAGGGTCAAAATGGGGCTAACAATATGAAAAAAATAGAGCGAAAAATAATTTAAGAATAAAGTAAATAAAATTTAATTTTATTTATATTAAAATATAAAATTATTTCATTTAAAATAATGTTGATTTAATTCATTAATTTGATATTTAAAATAATTTGACAATTAAATGAATTTTATAAAAATAAAATTTTAGATCAGCAACTCCAAAGTCATTGTTATTAAGCACACGAGTTCAATATAAAGAGGATTAAAATAATAAAATTTCAATTTGGATTATAAGAAAATTTTATTAGATTAAGATTAAACTCATACATTCTAAAATCTTTAATGATATTATGTAAATGTATTGGTTTGGTATATATAAATATATCAGACCAATTTGTAGAAAATTTTTATTTTTCTTTATATATCATTGTATTGTATATCTGCTATTCTTATATATTTGTTGTAAAAAATATGAATGAATAATACACTATATAAATAAACACGCAATATTATATACGAGAGAAAAGGAAGCTGCATTTTCTTATATTATTATTATTATTATATTTTTTTTAAATGCAGCCGTTGCATTCAGTCAAACTCATCGTTTTACTTGTATATCATATATATTTTTCTTATATATATCCTAATATATATTTTCATATTTTGTGTATTTATATTATTTAAAGTTATACTATATACAGGAAAATTTTGTATACAAAATTCTATTTAGAAATTTTACTCAATTTTATTTTGACAGCAACAACACTAAAACAAATGCTAGAATGAGATAAATATATTACATATATTTTACAATTTGAATTTTTTAAATTATATTTTCTTGCCTCTTTCATTATATATGTATATATCAGAATATATTGTGTATATGCATTCAATAAAAATCTTACTGTTTATTTAATGTATATGAAGAATATTGAAGAAGTATTTGTTTATTTTTAAAGTAGTACAACAATATTATTTATATAGGAAAATAACATTTTTGTTTTTCTGTTTTAAAATTTCTATACTTTACTCTGTCATTCCTTTTATTATTTTCTTTTATTTATTTATAATATTATGTTTGTGTAAATATATGAGTACACATTTCGTATGCGTTTTATGTGGTTCGTTTTTGTTTCTTTTTTTTTTTTTGGCTGTGTGTTTTTGTTCTTTTCGATAGCATTGTTGTTCAAGTGGTCGGTCAGAATGAATTGAACCAGTTAGTGCTTGAACGTGAAATAGTGCGCATCGATATTATACGCAGAATCTGTTTTTGTATCGTAACAAAAATAATATATATAAAAATACGTATATACAAATACATATGTAAAAGAATATATGAATAAAATAACGGATAAAATAAAGCAAAAAAAAAAAAAAGGAAATTATAAATAAATAATATTTTTATTTTTGTTTTTTTTACATTATGATAACATAATAATAATGCTTAAGATCGCAAAATAAATAATCATTACAATAAAAAAATAATTATAAAATATAATGATAATTAAAAATTTGTATAACAATATTTTATTTTTTTTTTTTATTAAATTCTAATTAATTTTGATTTTATTTATTGCGTTTATTACTTTGAGTTCATATTTTTTTCTTAATTACTTATTATTATTATAATTAAATTAATATGGATAATTTAAACTGCACACATAATATTATATAACAGAATAATAATATGAAAATATTCTAAAATTTATTAAATAAATAAAAAAAAACGAAATTATTGTGATTTTTAATCTACAATATTAAAACAAAAAGAAAGAATTAAAGTAGTTATTAAAATTACATAGTTAATTAATTAAAAACAAAAAAGAAAGTTCTCATAAATAATTTAATTAAAACAAAAGAAAAGAAATTAATAAATTAATTTTTATAAATTAATAAAAATAATAATGAAAACAATGATTAATTATAAAGGATTATTAATAATAATATTAAGACCAATTAATATAAAACAAACAAAAATATTATTGTGAATTTAATATAAATAAAGAAAACAAATCAAAAATAAATAAATACCGGTAAATATTCCGTTATTTATAATTATTGAAAAAAAAAACAAAAATCATGTTTACCTTTATTACATTAAAAATATATAAATTTCGTATAAAAATTATTAAATATTATTGCCACCAAATGTCCAATAATCAATATTATTATTATAAATTATGATTTAGTTTATTTATATATAAAAAAAAATTCTTAAAAATTAATTACTTACATGCATACTTTTTGTAATATAATATACGGTCAATGTATATATTCGTATAATTTCAATTTTATAACATCTTTAAATATTTTACCATATATGAAATTAAATAATTGATTAAATTTAAATATTAAACTTATTATTTATATTATACCTAAGCATATTTATGTTATTAAAACTAAAATATTGAATATTTAAATTCATAAATTCAATTGTGAATTAATTTAACAAGAAGAAAACAAAGAACCGGGATTATGTGCAAAAATTATATAAGAAAACAAAATTAATTAAATACATTATTGATATTCAATCACACATTTATAGTTTCCAAATTTCTAAATAAATACTAAGCCCTGCTGTGTATAACATTCACTCTTATATTACATAAATAATGAAATCTATACGTATAATTTAAGAAGACATACTTGAATATTCTTAAAGACTAAATTTTCAGTGATTTCAGTTCGATATACACATATATATTATATACATATATATTAAAAATAATTTCAAAATTTAATTTCGTATTTCTTTTACTATTTAAGAATTATATATATTAAAAAACGTGCAATTTTTAATTAATTTATTAATTTTATTTTAAAAATCTTTTAAGAATAATAATTTGAAAATTTTTATATACAAAAATTAACAAAATTATAATTTCATTTAATAAGTACAATATTTAATTATTACTTATATTAAAATTATATAATTTAATAGTATATGAAAAGTATTGAATTTAAAATCGAATAAAAATAAATATAACAATATAAGAATTATGAAAAACAGATATAAACACGTACACATGCATTATGTATAGATATTTTAAAATAATTTAGTATGAATAAATAATTAATTATGAACTATGACTTAATTAAAAAATTTCGCCAATAATGGACTGTAGATGGTGTACAAAAAAAAATATATAGAATGCAAAATATTAAAATATATTGAAAATTATTTTTATTATTAAAATTAGTTAGAGGGAAGAACAACAGAAAACAAAATAATTAATAATTGTTTATTATTTTTTTATATAAAATTTTTTCTTTTAATTTTTAATGATATTTTTTTTATAAAAATAATATCGTGAGGACAATAATTTTCATGAAAGTGCTGTACTTACTTACACTTTAATTTTAGTCGTACCTCCTATACTTACAATAAAAATTTCAATGAAAAATACATAGAAAAAGAAAAATATTATCAAATATAAAATTGTGTTAGAAAAAGCAAAAAAAAAAATAAATAAAAATTTGTTTATATTATACATGAATTTTAATTTTTTTATATATAAAATATATACAAAATAGTTAAGCTAATTGAAGTATAGCTTTAACTAAGATTCAAAGTATACAATAATTAACAAATTAGTTACATGAAATGAAAGTAAAGTAAAGAATAAAAAAAAATAGAATAAATCAAGTTAAAAAAAATTGTCATTAATTCTAGATATTTGAAAAAATTTATATATAAAAAAAAATATATATATATAATATATATATATATATATAAGTATATATTTAGTGTCTGTTTTGTAAATATAATTATGGCAGCATATGCACAATTTGGTTATAGTTATCCGTCGGCAACTCAGGTGAGTTTATATAAAAAAGCAAAAAATTAATAATTTCACTATTGTTATTATAGAATGTTAATAAATAACATTTACTCTGACTGTCAAATAAATTTAACTGTAAAATTTCTATTTTTATGAAGAGAAAGTTAAGCGAATTCAACTATAATATGCAATAACACAATTCTTACTTAACTAGTACAGAAATGGAAAGTTATTTAAGCATTTCAGTTTCCGTAACTATATACGCCTCTTATTGTTTTCCCTGTTAGTGAGATATTGAATTCATAATGTTAAATAACCTTATACAAAATTCCGTATTGAAATTTTAGTGAGGTATTAAAATGTAATTTTAAGTAATAATGTCAAGAATTAATTTGTAGAAAATAAAATTGATTTTCCATTGTAAATAATTGAATATATACATATATTGTTGTATAACAGAATTATTGTAATACATTTGGTTGTGTTATTGTAACTTTATACATTATTATAATACAATTTCTTACAAATTATACTTATAATATGTATCAAAAATTTTAATATGAATATATCACCCATTGTAGATTCTCAAACGACCTATATCTATAAAACTGTTTACATTAGGATAACCAAATGTTCTTATAGTGAATAACATGTTGTTGTCCTGAATAATTGATTGAGTTTGTAACAACGGATTTGTTACATTTAAATTAATCGAATCAGATTTAAATTTCGATTGTACATTACGTTTTCTGGAAAATAGAGTTCTATTTATAAGTACTTTTTATAAGTTTATAGATAATTTTTTAATATATTCTATTAAGAATATTAGAAAGACAAAATATTTTATAAATTTACTTCGAAAAATAAATTAATTATGTAAAATTTCACGGGTTTAAATTCGTATATTTTATAATTATTAAAAATAATTAATATTCTTTCTCTTTGTGATATGCACTATTCTCTATGGATATGCCAAAAGGTTTTGCTTTTTTCACAAAAAAATAAAACAAATTTGCAAGTGATTTTGATAAATAGCCTACGTATGTCAATTTTGAAAGCATTATACCTTTATAGTGAAATCATTATACCTAAAACGAAACTAATATTCCATAAGTCAATTATGTAATTTAAGAAACTATGTATATTTCTTCAAAAATCAAAAATAAATTTAAAATAACAAAATTTTATTGATCCGCCGGGATTTATGCAATTTTTAAATATTTTGCTTAGTCTTAAAAAAAATTTAAAATTCATAAATTATTTTCATAATACTGATTCGAAATATTCAAACTGTTATACTCCCATTTATTTTCAAGGTAATTTTCAACACTGAATTACACTGAAATTTGTTCAAAATAAATTATGTAATGTGTATAACAGCCTCTATTAACAGCCTTTATTATACTTATTTTTAGTAAATTAAAAAAAAAATTTACATACAAATTAGTGTCTAATATATACGCACTCATAAATACTTCAATAAAATTTTAATGAGAAATTATAGGCATTGTACACAGAACTGAAGAAAATGAAAAATTTATTAAAATTCCATTTAGAGGAATTCCGATCGAATTTTTTGATAATAAATTAAATTAAGAATCGAAATATTTGGAAATTCAATAGATAACTTGTTTTGGTTTTTAAAGATAATTACTTATAAGTTTGTAAAGCAGTTTTATAGAATAATTTACTTTTGTATAACAATTGTGATTAGTTATAAAATATTTCACTTTCTTTATATTTATGCGCTTAAACTTTTATAGATATTACGATTTTAATTTTCTCTTTAACTTTAATTTAACCTTAGATTTTAAATTTTTGAATTGGAATATCTACTTTGACATAGGAATATTTGCATATATAAAAGTGTACCGAAATTTTTTTATTGTTTTATGCCAATATTTTATGGCCTTTTTATTCATATTCGATTCAAATGATTGGCGTCTTTATTCCAAAAATTTTATTAATTAAATATTTTGTGAATATACGGCAATTTTAGAAAAGTCTTGGAACTATGAATTTTATGAAACAGGTTTTGATATTCAAAGAATTTTTATTTCAATTTTATGCTGTTATGCCGGCCGACGGTATTATAAGAAAAATTATGCATTTGTTAATATTTTTGCGTTGCATATATAAAAATTTTTAGAATTTTATTTTTTCGTAAATTAATAATTACGTGAATAAGTCTTGGTTTTAATGAGAAAATTTTAAGAAAATTCGTCTTCATGTTTTACTATTTCGTGAATAATTCTGCAATAGTTTATTATCTTCTTATTAAAAATGGTTCTAATTATTTAGTTCGTTATTCAATTAATTGCAATTTAATTAGTCTTGTCCGATATTTGATTTGACCATCGATTTTATCGATGATCAATTGAGAGTTATTTTAAATCAATTTAAAAATGTTGGACTTGATATACAATTAAGTTTTCAAATGAACAATGAATGAAACGTTTTATCGTCATAAAAGTATATTTTGGCTGCTTGTATTGGCTGCTACTTTATACAGTCTGCTCTAGTGGGGCCTTAGATATTATAAATATATCTAGTGTAGTCCGATAGTTCTATAATATTTCGCTTAATTTGTGTTCATAGCTTAAAAGAAGAAAAATAGACATTATGACCAACTTAATTTTATATGCATTTAAATTTATCAAATGAAATTTGTAATAACACCTGATCTACCAGACTTCCTTGTATAAAAACTATTTTTAATCCTATCGAAAATCTCATACAATCATAATTTACGATATTTGAATATAAAATATATTACTTATGTAAATTAGTAACTTATGATTAAAATTATTAAAATATTTTTATAATTATTTAACAAATTTATTATCCCTTTTATGTTTTACTAGAAAAAAAAGAAGCAACACAACTATTTTATAAGAAAAAAAGAAAAAAAATACTCACTCACTTAATGTGATAATGTGAGAACTTACCATCACAATTTTCACCAGAGATGGTAAATTCTTACAACAAAAAATTACTTTGTATGGGAATTTTGTTTTGCTAAATTATTCTTTATTATTATCATAATGATTTTATAATTAATATTAATAATAAATTTATAAAATAATAAATAAATATATAAAAAAAACTCAAATATAAAATCACTATTTTTGTAATGTTAATAATTATTTTCTCAAGAGAATGTTCTAAACAACTTGAAGAGAACATCACTGTTAATTCTCTTTAATATTAAATATTCAATATATACTTAGATAATTAATTTTGTTGTTGTTATTGTTTTTTTTTTTCTAAAATTAACAATCCTTTTATGATTTAATGATAATCTTTAATAATATTTTTTTCCTTTTTTTTACATTAAATTTGTAATTAATTATTGCCTATAATTAGAAATTTTATTTATTATTATATTTTCTGTGGCTATGAGACATATTTTTTTAAAGTTGTAAATAAATTATTTTTGCACTTTAATTCATTATTTCGAAAAAATATGTTCTTAGGGAGACATAACTGTAAGAATTTTAATGTTTATTAGGTGCATTCTCCAAGAAAGTGTGTTTTTAAAGAAGTTTTCCCAGGTCAACTAAAGGATACAAAAATAATGGCACTGTGTCTGTTTCCCAAATTAAACACTATATACAGCAGCTCCTTTTTTCATAATAATAATATGAAGGCAATATCTATAGTTTCTAGAATAACGATTTTGCTTTAAAAATAAGCTTATTCATTAATTAATATTTTAGAAAATTTGACTGTTTTCGAGTTAAGATAATTGTTATGGTTTGAATCTTAGATTTTTAAAATATTTTAAAAATTAGAACAATATATTATTATTTGTACTTAAAAATTTGATACCCGTTTCGAGCCAAATTTTATGTTATATAAATATTTGTCAGATGAATTGTTTACGCCAAAGTAAATCGTTACATTTGATGAAGGAGGAAAAGTATAATGGATAGCTAGTAAGGATAGGAATATAACTACTTAATGGAAGCTTCAATAGACGTTTATGCGCCTAATTATATGCAAGATATTTTGTAAAATTAAGGGAAAATTAAATATATTTTTCGATTGTATTAGAAATGAGGTAACTATAACATTTACTATGTTCTAATGTCCATAAAGGATCATATTCGTGTATCTACGTAACTACCGAGATAATATTGATTGGGAATACTATATGAGAACTATTTTTCTTGCCTATATGTTTACCCAAATTCAAAATATTAATGTTAAAATTTTTGTTTATTAGTATACTAATTAAAATAGCAACAAATCGATATTGTTTTGGTTTGTCCACAGAATATTTTACAATCATATGGAAACAATTATGTAGACCAATAAATATACCTTATATACATATATATGTTATATTTAGTGTGTTTTTTCTTTAAAATATTCTTTAAATTGTTGGTTTTTTTTTCTTGCATTGCCTTTGCATTATTTAAAAGATAAAATACCACTTGTCATAATTTATTAACCATTTAAAGTCATTTTTAAAATTTCATAAATCAGAAATCATAATTGGCGTTTAATATCAATTCACACGCATACACACACAATATATTATAAGTATAATATTATTTATATATTATATTAATTTTCTGTATAATTAATATATATATAATTATTATATATATATTAATTTTCTGTATACATATATTCATTTAACTTACTTATTCATTTTGGATTCTTATGAACTATCACCGGGAATATTATATGATTTTGTAACTTAAACGCTATTCTGACTTTAATAATTTAAGCGCTACTTTATAACTGCAATATTTTTTTTAGTTTAAGAATATTGTTATACTAAGTTGTCGTTCAAATTAACTATAATGTACCTATCCATATATATATTTAGATATTAACAAGAAGATAAAATTTTTTTCTTAAAGATACAAATAGTCTGATAATGACTGACAATAACTTACAAAATTTTTACCATACCACATTATCTTGATTTTTACCATATATGTGAAAATATTATCAGAATCTTTTCGTATAGTTTCTTTTTTTGTTTTTTGTGAATTCTTTTAAAATATTAAAAAACAAAATAT